TCAGCAGTGTACTTCGTCGATCTGCCTGTTCTGCTCCCCACTCTGTCTCTGGTGAATCCTTTCACCCTCCGCATCTCTGGCCTGTACTCCAGTTCTATATGAATAAATAAATAAATCTTAAAAAAAAAAAACAAAAAACCAAATAATGTGTCTTCTTTGCGACTATACCCTGAAGACCTGAGCACAACAGGAAACAACACATAGTAGGAAATAAGTAAGCGGTGAACAAACCAGTGCACATTGAATGCTCTTAGTGTGCGGCATGCAATGGAAGAGTAATATGCTTGTTTCTTTCTCTTTTGCAGTTGTCAAATTTAAAAGTTGTGAATCACTCCCCAATGTCTGATGCCTCTGTCAATTTTGACTACAAATCCCCTTCCCCGTTTGACCGCAGCACTGATCAGGAAGAGAAAATTGAAGATGTTGCCAGTCACTGTCTGCCCCAGAAAGACCTGTATGCTGCTGAAGAGGAAGCTGAGGCTCTTTTTCCTAGAAAAATGACATCTCATAATGGACTGGAGGACAGTGGAGGAGGAGGAACTGGAGTGAAGAAGAAACGGAAGAAAAGGGATCCAGGAGAGCAGGAGGGGACAGCAAAGGGAAGCAAGGACAGGGAGCCCAAGCCAAAGAGGAAGCGAGAACCTAGAGAGCCAAAGGAACCCAGGAAGGCCAAGGAGCCCAAGAAGGTCAAGGAGCCCAAGGTGCCCAAGGAGCCGAAGCAGAAGGATGGAGCCAAGAAAGCTCGGAAGCCCCGGGAGGCCTCGGGCGCCAAGGAGGCCAAAGAGAAGAGGAACGGTGCCGACTCCACGGCCAGGACAAAGTCCAGGAAGGCCAGGTGTGTCCTCCCTGCTCCTGGCTTGCTTTGGCCTTACTTCCGCCCCACACATAAATTCACTACTTTCAGCCAAGACGGACCACTTTTAGTACCTCCTAATGAAAGATAACTTTTAATACTAGCTCTGCAATTTCTTGCCATTCCTTTTGGACTAAGAAGAATTGAAGTGTGAGAGCAGCACAGGGTGTAAGAGAAGGGACAGCACTGGTGTGCTATAGGGAGGGCAGCAGTTTTTGGGCAACAGCAGTATAGAGTGGCAGAGGGAGCACTGTCAGAAGGGTGTGCAGTCCTGGGAGGCAGTGGTACCTGCAGCCTGGCAGAGCCAGGGGTTTGAGTGGAGCTCCAGGCAGAAGAGGACTGCTGAGCTTCCCCAAGCTATAAGCTCTCCAGTGCACAAACACTGGTGTCTCTCATCCAGTAGCTAACACCAACAGGTACTCAGGAGCTGTTAGGTGACTGGGGTCAGAAGAAACCATAATGGCTTTAGAGATCGGAGGGGCATGAGTCTAGATTCATTGTAGAATAGGTGACACTGGGGGTCTTGGCAGTAGGTACTAGCAGCATCCAAATGCACGCTCACCCAAGAAATAGAATGTTTGTCATCTGTGAACAAATGTAATGTATTTTGTTCTGTCTTCAATTTTTTTTTTATTAGACTATTGAGACTGAGGAAATATAAAAGAAAACAATACATAAACTCTACAAACTTAAGAAGAAAACTTAAGTTTCTAAAATCTAAATGCAGGGGCAGAGTATACACCACAAAGATGAAGAGGCTTGAACTGCCTCCTAACAGAGCAAGGTGATATGACTGTCAGATCTGTGTGGGATAAGGCATAGAGGAAGAAAGTTTTATTAGAGCATTTTAAGTGGTGTGTTCTACATCTTGGAATTTTCTGTGTGGTGAGTTAATTTTTATAAGGCCAGCTTATTGGGACCAGATAGATAATTTCCTAATCTAAGTTAAGACCATCTTAACATCTACTCCCTTCTGCTTTGCGGCAGGGGATTTCAGCTTTTCTCTATCAGAGAGAGTAGGGTGGGAATCTACAAATATAATTTGCAGAGAATGGACCTAAACTACTTTGTAGAAGGTTGAGAGAGAAAGAGAGATAAAATTAGGATTCTGACTTATGAGAGACCTACAGGCTTGTTTTTCAGTGATCCCAGTGACTGGTGGTGTATGGGATGTAGAGTAGGTTTCTGTCTCTGCCAGTAACTTTAATCTCCAGATTACTTTAGAGAAACTTAATTAGTTCTTTAAGGTACTAGCATATATGATAGAAGAATTAGAAATGAGCTAGTGTGATTTTTGTTGTTGTTGTTACAGAAAGTAAAGTAAGAATCCTTCAGGATAATGCTTTAAGATTAGGTTAAGTAGACTCGCACTGCTCAGATAAGGAGTTTGGTGTTTGTGTATAAGATAGCAGAAAGCCATTAAGTGTCTGAATTCATGTTAGCCATTGATATTTGCACGTCATGATCTGATGCTAACAATTTTACATACTTCTCCTGCTTAACTAAATTCACATGTACTTTGTGTGGGTTGTGAAACCAGTTGATGCAGGTACTGCCAAATATTATGCTATGGGACAATGAGGAGGAAATTCACAAACCAAGTTGGGTATCAAATATGTATATAGCATATTACAGTAGCCTGATTTTGTCTAAATGATTTGTAACTCATTCCCTATAAAGCATTGAGGAGTTAGAGTAGTATTCGGTAGTGTCTTCAAGGACTGCTGACTTGGAGTGCAGCAGAACCTCTTAAGGTTTAGAAATCTAGGCAGTACCTGTGAGGATGCCGACAGGCCAGTAGGACTGACTATCTCTTTGGCAATGTGGGCAAGATGCATGAGACTTTCTGTTTTGGGAGCATATGAGAAACTTTTAACATATCAGAATTCTTTGTAGACCAGACAGGGTTCTTGACTGGTGAGTCATTTCTCATCCTTTATAAATAGCTTTGGTTCATTTAATTAATGATCCCAATGGTCAGAAGTCATTTTAGTTATGAAAGGACGTTCATTGATTTTAAAAGTATATGGCAGTAATTAAATCGCAGTTTTTTGTGCTCTTTTATTTGCTTTCTAACAGAATGGCTAAAGTACATGTTTTGATATAAGCAGTTCACAATTAGACCCTGAGTAATACATGATGGTCGCAAGTGGTGCCTCAAATGCTTGCATTTTTGTCAGAGCACCACGCTTGATTTAAGGACTTCCGGTCTTTCTTCCTTTTATGTCATCTTCTCAGTTGCCAACTGATAATCTTTCTGATGCACTGTGTATCATTTATAGTTAATGGTAAATCCAACTTTTTCTTACCCCCTCTCAATACACTGGGAAATTAACAGAGATGGAGATTCAGTTACCAGCTTTGTTACTGATAGACTAGATTGAAGAAGTCCACTGTCTTGTGATAAGAATATACTCCATGTTACTCCCTCAGGTGAAGTTATCACCAGAACTGCAAGCAGTTCCTTGAAGCAGAGGGAGAACACTAGGGGCCACTCCATTCCTTTCCCAGGCTCACCTTTTGGGACAGCCCCAGTCAGAGAAGTGAGAATAGTGTGGAGAAGAGCCAAAAATATGTTTCTAATACTGTTCTTTCCTTGGGAATAAAACACGATTGTTCTGATAAAAACATGGAGAAAGGGAAGGAGGATTCCTTGCTAAAATTTATACCTCCTTAGACATTCTATTTCTAAAACAAGATCCAGATTGCTCTTTTTGTTACTGAAACCCTTTGGGTTTCCCCCCAAACAGATTAGCTAACTAGATTAATCTCATTAGCCCTTAAAGGTACTTGACTTATTTCTCCTTTGGATTGCTATAGCTGTTTCTCCCAATCATTGTCCTAGTCCTTCTCCTAGGATCTAGTACATTCCATTCTTTGGTTCCGAGTGCAAGTCCCAGTTTCTCTAGAGTATCCCCAAGGTAGTATGCTACTGTCTCCTCTGACTTCCAGAGCTGTTGGAGTTGTACTTTACAGTGTAAATCAGAGATTTTTATACCTAGAAGGACTAAAAGCTGGTCCAGCCACGTTGTGCTGCAACAGGGTAACACACTCACAGAGCAGTGTGCCCTGTTTACAAGGGTGTGTCATAGACTCAGACCTCTTGATTCCGAGTCTGTTAAACATTTCCCTCTGCTATAAGGTACCTCTCAATTAAAAACCATTGTTTTCATGTGTATGTGACCTATCTCCTTAACAAAAGTTACATGCTGGAGATCAAGACCACTGTGCTTTGTGGCTTGGCCTTTGAGGTTGTTCTTTATCAAATCAGGAGCTGAACATTTTGTATTATATCTGCTCAGGGAAAATAAAAATAATAATGGTATGACTAGCCCTAGCACCTGTGCTTCAACTTTTTACGCCCATTTGTTTGGTGTGTCAACCCAAGGCCTATTTTTCTCCCAAATTCAGTAAGTTTAGGAACATCTGGAAGAAAAGGTTTGCCTTTTTTAGTTTTCTTTTTGATGGCGTCTAGAAAGTTAAGACCTAGAGCTTGTGGTTATGTAACTATATGAGGCTTGAGTCAGCTGTTAGCTGTGATGTGGGAAGGATAGTAAGATTTGGTCATCTCATTTCTCCCTCACCATTGCAAAGTCAATTACCTGTTTTTGTCTAGCGTGCAGGTTATTATTGATTCTGCTGGTAGACCTGTTTTTACAATCTGATCATTTATTAAAAGAAAGAAGACAAATATAAAGACATGTCTGAATTTTGAGTAGCAACCCCATGCTTGGAAGCCACTGGACTTGATGTTAAAGAGGGAAGAAATCTAAATGATAATGACAGAAACCCACCTCTGAAGACTGAACTAAGTCTCCATTTCTGTTTTTCTGAAAGCAACTGTAATGATACTCTTAACACCAAGGATTTCCTAAGTTAACCCTTAGAAAGTAGACCTTTACCTAATTTACACGGAAACAGATGCTAACTAATAATAATGCTCGATAAATCTATCCAGAATACTTTTAGTGCCTTCCATGTGCCTCATTCCATTGGGAATGGGATAGTGAAAAAGAAAGGTGTCACAGAAATCATCCATGAGCCCTATCATGAATAGGGCTTTCTTTTTTCTTTCTTTCTTTCTTTTTTTGATACATATTATTTTCTTTCCCCTTGATTCTATCACAGAATATGGCATGTTATACTTGTTTGCCCTTTGCTCTTTTCACCTAACAGTATATATTAGAAATACTTTCTTCTCAGTCCATAGACTTTTTTCTTATTCCTTTTTATATTTGCATAATATTCCATCACATGCATCCTGATTTATTCAGTCACTGATGTTTGTAATTTTCATTGTTTTGTAATTACCAAATAATGCTGCAGTGACTAGCCACAAGCATATGTAGTTTAATGTTGTGTGGAGGTGTGTCTTAACTATATTTCTTTAAATGTAATTGCTGAATTAAAAGTATATGCACACATAATTTTGTTACATACTATTTGGCCACTATTTTATTTATTTTTAAAAATAATATAATAGCTTATTCTTACATCATTTTGTGCCATTTTCCATTTCAGTTGTAATCCCTCTGGGCTTCCCATCACCATAGTCCAGTGCATTCCTCCCCACCCCCCGTTTTTGATCCCATTCCCCACTCAACCCCCATAAAATGTCTCTGGTATAGTTGTTCATTATTTTTTTCTCTCTCCCCTGGTCCTTTATACTCCTGCTATGAGTGGAACCATCCAGTATTTTTCTTCTTCTTTCTGGCTTATTTCATTAAGCATCATCTTTTCCAGCTCCATCCATGTCGCTACAAAAAGGCATGTGTATCTTTTTTGATTGCTGAGTAATATTCCATTGTGTATATGTACCACATCTTTTTAATCCAGTCATCTACTTTTGGTCATTTGGGTTGATTCCATGTCTTCCTGTTGTAAATAAAGCAGCAATAAATATGGGGGTACAGGCATCTTTCTGAATCAGTGTTTTTGTGTCTTTTGGGTAGATACCTAGGAGTGGGTTTGCTGGGTCTTAGGGAGGCTCCATGTTTAGCAGTCTGAGAAACCTCCAGTTTTCCATAGTGGTTGTACTAGTTTGCATTCCCACCAGCAGTGTAGGAGAGTTCCTTTTCCTCCACATCTTCACCAGCATTTATTGTTGCTAGTTGTTTTAAGATGTGCCATTCTCACTTGTGTGAGGTGGTATCATTGCGGTTTTAATTTGCACCTCCCTTATTACAAATGATGTTGACCGATTTTTCATGTGTTTGTTGGTGTTGGCCACTATTTTTTAAGAACTTCAAGAAGCAAACATTCATAGACCAAATCCACTTACAGGTATAGAACTTGGAAGTAGGAATATTCCTATGTGACCAAATTCTGAACTATAAGGTTTTCAAAACCTTGTCAGAGGACAAAAACAATTCTTCTAGTCTTCCTGGAGATGTAATTCAGTTGATATATTTTTGATGTCCTAGTTGGAAGTTCCATGTAAAATACAAGAGATATTTGCCTTTAGTAGAAGAACTCCAAGAAGCTTTTTTGGAACTCAAAATTGATTCTCTTGCCAAAGGTAACCTCCAGAAAAGCACTTTGAAGATTTCCTAGGTAGAGTATCTTCTTATTTACCCCCAAATAAGTCTGTAGGTCTTTCCTATTTTACTGACATGTACTTGAGTCAGTATTCCTAGTTAGGAAAATCTAATACTGCTCCAGGCTTAACTTACAGCAGCCCCACCAGAGCTCCTCCTTGCTTTCCTTATTTAATGTGTTAACTGAAAACATGAGAGGCTGCTGTCTACAAGACTTGTTGTAAAGTTTCATATTTTAAGCAGGTTCTATTTTTAAATTATGATTTGAGCTTTGTTTTGAGTATGTGACACAATGAAGCATGTTTCCAGGATTTATATGTGTGTTCATATAAACTTATACACACCTATATGAGTATATAATTACTAATAAAGATTAGATAAATTTAGGGTTTTTTTTTTTTAATATGTAGATTTTTTTTTAATATAAGGAAGTTCTGTTTAGTAGATGGGTCAAATTGATTTAAGACTTTGTAGATTAGGGCCCTCCCTGGTGGTGCATTGGTTTAAGGTACAGCACGGTAAGCTACCAGCAGCTGCTTCAGTGTGAGTTTGATCTCCAGCCCCGGAGGTGACCCACATGGTGAGGCAGACCTCTCCTGACCTGCCTGCTGCTCCCCTCAGTGATCTGCCTGTTCTGCTTCCCACTCTGTCTCTGGTGAACCTTCTCGCAGCCCCTGCACCTCTGGCCTGTTCCCCAGTTCTTTATGCATGAGTAAATAAATCTTAAAAAATAAAAAACAATTTGTAGATTAAATGTAGCTTTGACCATGTAATTATTATGGTGACTTTTGATGTATTAATTAGCTTTCTTTAAATTTGGGTCCAAAAAATTAAGTACAGACTTTTAGTTAAGAGATCTGTTTTTAAAAAAAAAATTAACTATAGATTTGTGATTTTTATTCTTATGAAAAGTTTACTCTGTTTTTGGGCCATGGAATGTTTTGTTGTTGATCCTCTTGATCATTATTTTGTGATTCAAATAATATTAATAATATTAATATTCAAATAATATTAAAGGACTTCTGAAGTTTTAAAATTTTATCAAAAGAGGAACTGAATTTTAAGTCAGGAATGATGCAAAAAGCAACAGGCCGTGAGAGTCAGATGAACTAAGTGTGGACTTCACTGTGCTACTGACTTTGGCCTTTGCTGCTTTTAAACCTGTTTCTTCCTCTGAAATATGAATACGATCTGTCTTGACCTCATTGTGGCGTTGTGGTAGTAACAACTGAGACACAAATGCATAGCGCTTTGTGGATATTAATTACTATATACTTCCTTAGTGATAAGTCACATAGTATGACACAAGTACAAGTACTCCAATGAAAACACGACATCTTTTAAAACTGTTTCACCTTAGTCTCCTGAACTGAGGCTTTGCTTTTCCCTCAGCCTCTCTTGTTAAAAATGTATGATCTTTTAAAATGGCAGACCCCTTGAGTTGAATTTCCTCATGTTGGGTAAAATTTTTATAAGGAGCTTTACCTAGTAGGCAGACAGGCAGGCCGTGGGGAGTCAAGGGAGGTTAATTCTTTGCTGGACTGGCTGGGGATCTTCACAACAGAGGCAGGGTGAAGGGTCTTCAAAACAGAGGCAGGCTGATTCAGCGATCAGTACCAGATGGTTTTCCTGCACGTGTTCATGCCCAATGTCTTGTCTCTGAACAAAACCGTTGGCTTCTCTGTCCCCCTCTACTTTTCAACACATTTTTATTAATATTAAGGAGGTACCATTTTCTGAGATCCTTGGTAAAATTTTTACAGTATAAGAATTTCCCCTCAGGTAAGGTCCCTGTAGCTCTCTCACCACAAAGCACCCACACACCTCCCCCACAGTCCATGTGCTCCCCTGGATCTCTCTCCTCCTCTGTTGTGTGCCTCAGATCTGTGGTAACAAGTTATTTTGTCTCCTTCCTTGCTCTCTACATTCTGTCACTTTGCAGTACTTACTGGTTCTACTTCTGCTGAGTCTTTCAGATTGTTTCATCTTTGAGTTTTTGTTGATTATATCTGGCTAAGGTTTTTATTCTTTCTTGCTGAGGCTTGCCATCATGGCCCTTTGGACATAGACTGTAGTCTGAACTGTAGCCTGGTGTACCCTTAGTATTCCATCATGTAGTTCTTCTGTTCAATTGCCCTTTGATTCTAGCCACACAATTAGAATTGTCTTTTACTAAATATGCACAAGAATGCCATAGTGGTTAAGAACATATTTTCTACTTCATTTGCAAGCCATGTTACCCTGGAAATCTAACTGAAATGCATTGTTCCTGCTGTTAAAAGCAGGAAAGTGATACTACCTGCCTTACATACTTCTAAGAAATAAATGAGATAATCCATTTGAAGGACTTAGAGAATTTTGTCCACGTGTGTGTTATGTAAGTGTTCACTGTAATAATTATTCCTGCTATTATTTATATGTTCCATCAAAATCCCATGTATATACCCATTCAGATGCATTTTCTGAAATCTCTAACAACAGGTAATCCTACCCACTGGTATGTATATGTTGCTTATTCAGATATGCATTCATCGAATACTTTCTGTAAGACAAGACTGGGCCCTGCCTAATGGTGCAAATTGGTTAAAGCACAGCACGGTGGAGCTATCAGCAGCCACTACAGCACAAGTTCAATCCCTGGCCAGGGAGGTGACCCACATGATACAGCAGACCTCTCCTGACCTGCCTGCTGTTCCCTCAGTAGTGTATCTCAGTACATCTGCCTGTTCTGCTCCCCACTCTGTCTCTGGTCCCCCACACCTTTGGCCTATTCCCCAGTTCTTTGATGCATAAATAAATAAATCTTTTTTAAAAAGACAAAAGTATAGCTATTATTAGGAATGCAAAACTTAAGTATAAACTGTTGTTTAGAAACTTAGAATCTGCTAAGAAAGATCAGGGAAATGTAAAATATCCACCCATTCAGCAAAATGTCTATCAGGCAACGGCAGAGGAACCAGATACTAGATGGTTCTGGGCCCAGTGTCATAGTTAATAACTAACTTTGGTGTAAGAGCAGATTTTGATTACCTTAAACAAAGCACACATTGTGCTTGGGGGGTGTAGGGAGATCCAGCCAAGAGGGCTAGGAGAGACTTGGAGGCAATGCTGCTGCTTTAACAGGCCCTGCAGGGCGCATGGACACTGCGCATCTCCACTCTCTCAGGAGGCCTTCTGGAGGATGGCTGTAGGTGGTCTGTAGGCTTTTCACAGTTGGTAAGTGCCTCACCATCTCAAGGCAGAGACAGCGTTGTCTTTATTTTTGAGTTCCTAGTACCCAGTCTGAGTCTTACACATAGACCATACTTAGTAGGGAATGATGACAGATTTGGGAAATGTCTTCCCGTGTAACTTAACAGGAGATTGAAATTTGATGATTTTCAGTATCTGCAACGCAAACTTCCTAGAGACATAGATATATATGAACTGAAAGTGAGATTTTGGGAGATAAATTTTATTTTTTATCACAATAATCATGCCATAGTAGTCAATGAAATGGATGAAAAAAAAGTTCACATCAGTCCATGTACATACTCTTCCCTTACTTCTGGAAAGACACTCTTAAAAGCTTAGCCTAGTTCACAATTTGTAGGATGTGATAATATAATTTCGATCATATAAGAAATCTTAGTTTTAAAAACTGCCCAACAGTTTTAATTCTGATTTTTTCCTTGTAGCAAAGAGCAAGGACCAACCCCAGTAGAGAAAAAGAAGAAAGGAAAAAGGAAAAGTGAAACCACAGTGGAAAGTTTAGAACTGGATCAGGGCCTGCCACACTCATCCCTGCGGAGTCCTGAGGAGTCCACTGAGTCTGCAGACAGCCAGGTACAGCTGTGGCGGGAGCCTCGGTGGGACCCGCATGTCTTTATGGGAGTCGGTTGATGCTGGACATACTGTTCCTCTGTCCCTACAGCTGCCCACATCCCTGGGCAGACTGGGGCTGACCTTTCAGTTTTGGGGATGAACATCGAAGGACCACAGGATTTCCTCCTAGCATCCTGAGCCTTATACTAATATTTTCCTATTTCTTTTTTTGTTTCTCTTTTCTTTTTTTCTTTCAGGTTTCTATTCTGCCATTTTTTTTTTAAGTGGTGTTAGCTTTCTTGCAAAGTAGCATGATATTAGACTGCAGAGAGAGTGAATGTGGAAATGGAGTTGAGCCAAGTAAGGTAAAGCTGAGGAGGCCCGTTTTGCCATGAGGCAGTGAATTCAGACTTGGAGTGCTGGACCATTCTACACAAGGACATTTTCTTGAACCTGGTGCTGGAAGAGTCAGGGGTGTATTACTCATTATGCAAAATAATACAGAAAGTTTGACCAAACGTGGAAATAGAAGTTGCCCACTTAGATGAGATTCCTAAAATTAGGCCAAATTATGCCCATGACATTAGTAGAAATTTTTTCACTAAGTTTAGGCCGCATCTCTTGGACATGAGCTGATGTTTGAAAGTGCTGTTTGTTTGATAGTTACAATTGAATGGGGTTGTGTTGTTACAAGGGTACTATTTGGAACAAGACAGCAATATGACATTGTACATAGTGAAGAAACCGTAGTTACAAAAAGAGACTCAATTGTATCTTTTAGATGATGGTGGTGGAGGACCAGTGAATTGGGTTTGCTTTGTTTACTCTTTAAGATTTTAGTATCTGAGAATAAGCTTTTCAATGAATGGTTCCCAGAAGTGTTTCTGCTGCTTGGCTGTGAGGTGTACACAGAGTTGACTGTGTTTTTCTGTGAGGAAACCCATTAGGCTGCTTTATTATAGAAGGTTGTCTCTCTAAAAGGTCACTTATACTTAATTATAGATGAGCCCTTAGTGGAGTCTTGTTTGGTTACATATAAGATGTCTCCTGTATTTCAAGGGATTTGAATGAGATTCTAAAAATTACACCCTAATCAAATTGTTGTTATTTAGCTTTTTAGGAGGACATGGTAAGTAAGTATGGTGAATTTGACCACCAACAACAAACAACCTGTCTTCAATGAAAAAAATTTCGTTATTTTAAAATCAAAGCTCTAGCTAGGATGGAAGGAACTTCAAAGAAGATGTAGTTTACCTTTCTTCCCAATTTCACTGGACTAGAAACTGATTTCAGAGAGAAGGAAACAGTCACTGACATTAATGTATCAAACACTTTTCACTGGGTTCTGAGACTCCCGTCTTCTCAATGGACGCTGGCAGTTTAGATCACCTCCCACATTTCAGTGCATTTAGTTCTTCCTTAGCATTTTTAAGAAAGGTCCCTTTTATTAGTAAGAATATATTCCTTTTCATGCGAGTCTAGAGGAGAGCGTTTGTGTGCAAATGTTTGCCTTTGGCTCACAGAACTTCTTTCTGATTCGTGTGTTTGCCTGGTAGAAACGACGCTCAGGACGGCAAGTGAAACGCAGAAAATACAACGAGGATCTGGACTTCAAGGTGGTGGATGACGACGGGGAAACCATCGCTGTTCTCGGAGCTGGCCGGGCCTCTGCCCTCTCCGCTTCTACACTGGCGTGGCAGGCGGAGGTACGGCCTCGGTGAAGCACTCATTTGGCCACCCTCACAGATTTGTTCGTGACTTTCTGCTGCAGCATTCTGACTGCAGCAGACAGCCTTCACGTGGCTTCCTGCTGCAGTCAGATTGATTTGAATCTTTGTGATGTTCCACTCCGGGCTCATACTCTTATTTCATCATGTTTATTTTTTCGGATAAGTAACTTTTTCTTTTTCACTGCTTCAGCCAGAAGACTTGCCATCCTTTACTGCCTTAAAGTTAGGGGTCTTTCCTACTTACTGGCCTTCGCCATATTGTCCTTTGTGGAAGGAATGCTCTTCACTATATGCTTTTTGTGACCGGTCCGCTGTCTTTTAAGTTTCACCTAAAATAGAATCTCTTGAGAGATTTTGACTCCTACTTAAGGCAGATCCCTTCCTCTCATCCTAATGACTCTATTTTACTCCTTGTTTGCTTTTTCCATAGCATTTATCACAACTTGTAATTGTGTTCTGGTTTCATTTTATTTCTTCACCTTTCCCATTAGAATGTAAAGAATCTAATCTACAGTAATTAGGTGTTCAGTGAATGCAAAACATGAACTAGTAATGCAGTTCGGCTTGATTCAATAGTGTGTATTGAGACCTCCCCGTAAGACCTGGTCCTAGGATATAAAAATGAGTATTGAGAAATGACTCCCACCCCCAGCTCCAAGGAGCTCTGTCTAGGAGGAGGGGCATAAGGCTGTACTAATCCTGTGGCAAGTGCAGCCTTGAAGATGTGTTTTGGGTACAGTGGCTTCATGAACAGAGTTGTGGACAGGAAATGGGGGATTTTAGGCGGGCCATTCGCCATCAAGACAACCCAGAATCAGAATGGTATTGCAGGTTGTTGTATAACAAACAGATGAACTTGACTGGATGGTGGGTTCTAGTTGGGAAAGTGTGGGAGATGAGCCCTGAGTGGCAGGAATAGCCTCATTGCACACGGCCTTGGATGTCACTAAGGTGTGTTTGACCTTTTGTACTGTAAATGGAATGAGAGGTAGAAGCTGTTAATGGGTTCAAGCAGAGAAGCAGGATGGTTATATTTACATTTTAGGGATTTCCTTTGGCAGCTGTATCACAGAGGAAGAGAATATATTAGGATCTGAAACCCAGATAGAGAGGAAGAGGAGGGATAAGTGTTGAAAGTGAGGAGGTCTGTTCCAAGGAGCTTACAGAGAAGAGATTAGAAGCAAAAGAAGCAGGCTGAGCTGTAGGAGGGTGTCTTTGCCAGCAGCACATTCTGGAACACAGGCTGTCTGCTGTTATGGAGCCTTCATCGCTGACTTGGCAGATTCCTGCTCTGCATGTGCAGCAGCAGCACAAATGCCTGCCCTCCTCTGGGATGCTGCCTTAGCGTGCTAAGGCTGAGAGCACTTGGTCTGTCTAAGCCTCCTCACCACCAGCTTAAAGCATTTTCACATAATTTCATAATTTCTCTGTGTATGCATGGGAAGTAGTTAGGAACAGACATCATGGCCCCTAATTTTTTCTATAATGTAATTTAAATAGTTTTAAATAGTTTATTTTTACATCATTTTGTGCATTTTTCCATCTCAGTTGTAATCCCCATGGGCTATTCCCCCATGTGCCATCACCATAGTCCAGTGCATTTCCCTCCCTCCACTGTTTTTGATCCCATTCCCCACTCCACCCCCATAAAATGTCTCTGGTATATAGCTGTTCATTATTATTATTATTATTATTCTTAATTTCTCACCTGGTCCGTTATACTCCTGCTATGAGTGAAACCATATGGTATTTTTCCTTTTCTTTCTGGCTTATTTCACTGAGCATGATCTTTTCCAGCTCCATCCATGTTGCTGCAAAAGGCATGTGTTTATTTATCTTTTGGTTGCTGAGTAATACTCCATTGTATATATGTACCACATCTTTTTAATCCAGTCATCCACTTTTGGGCATTTGGGTTGTTTCCATGTCTTTCCAATTGTAAATAAAACAGCAATAAACATGGGGGTGCAGGTATCTTTTTGAATCAGTGTTTTTGTGTCTTTTGGGTAGATACTTAGGAGTGGGATTGCAGGGTCATATGGAAGCTCCATGTTTAGCAGTTTGAGGAACCTCCAAACAGTTTTCCATAGTGGTTGTACTAGTTTGCATTCCCATCAGCAGTGTAGGAGAGTTCATTTTTCTCCACATCTTCGCCAGCATTTGTTGTTGCTAGTTGTTTTAAGATGTCCCATTCTCAGTGGTGTATCTCATTGTGGTTTTAATTTGCACCTCCCTTATTACAAGTGATGTTGAACATTTTTTCATATGCTTGAGAGCCATGTGCATTTCCTCTTTGGAGAAGTGTCGTTTTAGCTCTTCTGCCCATTTTTTGATGGTGTTGTTTATTTTTGTTGAGTTCCATCAGTTCTTTGTGTATCTTTGTGATCAATTCTTTGTCGCTAGTTTCATGTGAGAAAATTTTTTTTCCAATCAGTGGGATGTCTGTTAGTTTTTTTTTGTAATGTCTCTTTTGCTGTACAGAAGCCTTTTAACTTGATGTAGTCCCATCTCTTTATCCTTGCCTTCACTATTATTGGGTGTTGTATTTTTAAAGATGTCGCTGAAATGTATGTCGTGTAATGTTTGGCCCATCTTTGCTTTCAGGTATTTTATGGTTTCTTTTCTTATGTTTAGATCTTTAATCCACTTCGAGTTGATTTTTTTGTATATGGTGAGAGGTAGTGATCAGTTTCATTTTTTTGCATGTAGCTTCCCAGTTTTCCGAGCACCACTTGGTGAACAAACTTTCTTTGTTCCATTGTATCTTCTTTACTGCTTTGTCAAACATTAGCTGCCCATAAACCTGTGGGTTTATATCTGGGTTTTCTGAGACTCCACTGGTCTGTATGCCTTTCTTGTTCTAGTACCATGCAGTTTTGATTTTTATGACTTTGTATTATAGCTTGAAGTTTGGGATTGTAATGCCTCCATTATCTTTCTTCTTAGTCATGAGAGTTTTGGCTATTCGAGGTCTTTTGTGGTTCCATATAAATCTCATCAATATTTTTTCTATTTTTTTGAAGAATGTCCTTGAGATTTTTATTGGGATGGCCTTAAATCTGTATATTGCTTTTGGTAGAATGGCCATTTTGATGATGTTAATTCTCCTGATCCATGAGTTGGGGATGTCTTTCCATTTCATGGTGTCTTAACAGTATTTTGTAATTTTCTTTGTATAGGTCTTTTACCTCTTTGGTTAGGTTGATTCCCAGGCATTTGATTCTTTTTGTTTTAATTGAAAAGAAGATTTTTTTTTTATTTCTACTTCTTCTTATTGATTGTTTATAGGAAGGCCTCAGACTTTTGTGTGTTGATTTTATATCCTGCTATCTTGCTAAACTGGTTGATGGTTTTGATTAGTTTCTCTGTGGAGTTTTTAGGGTTTTCCATCATGACCCCTATTTTAACAAAAAAAAAAAATAGGCACAGAATGACTGTGTCCAATTGTCTGTCAGTAGTCAATCAGTCAATTTCATGTCACTTGCTAAGGGTTATCCAACTAATGAATACAGTACTAAATAGGAATGAAAAATTGATTATTGCTATTATAGTACCTTTCGAGCAATAGTTACGCTCTTGCAAGACTTCCATGAAATGATGGGATTATATTGCTTTGGGATAGGTTTTCCTTTCTTGGAACTTTCATGGTTGGATTGGTAGTTAAAATAGGGTAAGAGGTTTTATTTTTTTCTACTAGTCATTTAGCCCAAGTCATCAACTGTATTTCACATGATGCTATATGACTTCTTCCCTGGTACCTGAAGGGCTGCATTAGCTAATCTGAGAGATATAATTCAGGAATTTTATGTATCTTAATAATGTTCTTTTTATTCTCTTAAGGGAACAACAAGGTTTACATATGGTGAAACATTAAGACAGACTCTGAATTTGCACTTAATATGCCACAAAAGTTGTTATTAAGTTTAAGCAAGAAAGAGGCCTTGTGGACCCTCCCTGGTGGTACAACAGGTTAAAGTACCGTGCTATGCAGCTATCTGCAGCCACGGCATCATGAATTCGATTCCCAGCCAGGGAGGTGACCCACAAGGGACAGCAGACCTCTCCTGTCTTGCCCACTACTCCCCTCACCAGTGGATTTCAGTCATTTTGCCTCTACTGCTCCCCATTCTGTTTCTGGTGAATCCTCTGGCCTCCACACCACAGGCCTTCCCCAACATGCAGAGCAGACTAAACTGAAGGTCAGCTGTCAGCATTAGTGCTCCATGGAGCCCTGACTGCTGTGAACCAAAGCAGCTCTCTTTGCATCTCTTCTATGTGTTACGCTTCCCTGGTGAGGTTTAACAAAGATTTCTTTCCCAGGCTAACTGAACTTTGAGAACCATGGATTTCATCTGGGATTCCAGGCAAGCCTTAAGGCATCCATTCACACAGAATAATCAATTGAAGAAGATAAGGATTTCTTATGTTCTCCTCCTGAGGCCTTTATGCCAGGCCTCTGCCTGCTTGCTGGCGTTAGCTTGGGCACAGAAGGGTATGTTGCTGCCTCTGCTGTCACCTCTGCCTTTCTGTGCAGTATGTTAGCATGCTCAGTCCAGTTCTGTGGCTGCTGGCCCCTCTCCCAGCCCAGATTGCAATCTGAGCAATGGTTACCTAGTGGTGAGTTGCTAAAAACATGTTTACACATGATCCATTATCCTTCAAGACTGGCATATTATTAGGGCGTACTAATTTGGAGTTTAAAGGACAGTCCCCTGACTTGAATATGGGGCTAGAAGTAAGTTTCCATATTGACTCTTATATGGATTTCTCGTTCTTTGTTGGTGCTTGGAATTGAGTCAGACTTTAAAGTGGCAGTGCATTTACAGTGTATGGACTTTTAAAAGATTTTGTCTCTTACAGCTTGTGTGGTTGGTATGATTTTGCAGTTGGTATGAAGGGACTTAATTTGAGTGGTGTTTGCCTGTGCCTTTGCAGATAGTACCCTTTGCTTCATCTGTCTTCTGTGCCTGAGAAGC